CTCTCTCGAATATACCTACATATTTGGCGGATGTAATAATAACGAATATTTCAGATATGTAGGTATATCGCAAAATCGATATTTCGAAACTATTGCTATAAGTTACATAATATGATACGATATCGATAGATTACCATCGCGATAACTGCAAAATAAACTGGCAAGTTTTTATCGTTAAATAGAATAATATATATTCTGAAAATATAGTATAGAAGTTGCAATTATTTACTGAACATATTTGAAAAAATATGCAGGAAAGTGAAGAGCTACCGCCGTTGAGTTTACGTAGATGCCAGATCTCAAAGGGTTAATTAAAACGGCGTCTTCCTCATCGTAGTAAAATGAAACGGGATGCTCAGAGCTAGCCGGTTTACAAAGTAGAAAAAGGGAAACTATATGAGAAGCGTTGCTTTTAACGGAAGAGTCATACGAATAAAAGAACCGCGACTAAGAAATCTTTATGGACTTCGCTCAATGGCGAAACTTCGTAAAAAGTACGTGGAAATGATCGACAAAACTATCGGAAGAATTCATATCGTATTAGAGTTATTGTAGTTAAAAAAACCAAAGCGTGGGCTATTAGGATTATAAATTTTGAACAATTTTCTGAAGAACTTTGATAAAAAAAATATTCTTTTATAAGAATATACGCAAAAAGAAAAACTAAGAAGTAAATCTCTTTGAAGAAATTCTAGATAAAAATTTGAATGAAATACGAGAATACTCTTGTCAATTTGCATAAAACTAACTTTATAAACAAATTATATTTGTTTGTTCCCAACTTTAATTAATTTTTTTATAATAAAAACTTTCTAAAACTTTTTAATTTTCTGTACTTTCAGTAAATATTATTTATGTTTATTTTTTCCATAAATTAATAATATATCTCATTTTTATTTTACTATTTAATTTTTTCAATTTTGTAGATTCTATTTATTTTTCATATAAAAATAATGGTTATTAATTTTTTAATATGTAAATTTTTAATACATAAATTATGTTATGCACACATTTATGAATTTTTATAAACAAGATTTTTAATCTTCTTAATCTTTTTCGTTTGTCAAATATATTATTAAAAAATAAAAATACATTATGAATGATTATGTATTTATATCTACAATTTTATTTTCGTTTATATAAATATTACTGATGCAACTTATAGCCATTTTATAAATTTTGGAACATTTCTCATTCAAATCAAATTCAGATAAAATTTTCTTGTGAGTCATTCAAAAATTCAATGGTTTGGAATTGTAGAAATAGTAATAACTTTGAATGCAAGTTTCTAATAACAATTAATAATATAAAGAATAAATAATAATATGAAGACTAATAATGCAAAGCGTAAAAAGCGTAAAAAGCTAACAAGAGATAGCATGTAAAATGTTTCTAAAGTAATGTTACACAAAGGACTAAAATAAAACAGCATGAGAAAACTTTCAAGTATAAGTTAAATATCAGACTTTAAATGTGCAGCAGTATTCACACAGATAATAAAAAAAACAATCTGAGATATTATACAGTTCTACTGTATACATACTAATGGAAAGTTGAAAAAGTGGATAGAGTTTCTAATGAGTGCATGTTCCCAAGTATATAAAAACACGTATAATAAAGAATTTAAAAGTAACATTAATTTTCTATGTTGAAAAAGCATTTGTCATTTAATTAATTTAACATATATGCATATATGAATTTTATATCTATTCAAGTTATATTTGAGGTAATTGTATCTTATTTATAAATTATTTTTTCTTCATTTTTTTTAAATACTCACAAATTATTAGTTAATATAAGCAATGTAAAAAATTGGAGTAGACTTTACATTTTTATTTATTATTAATGTTATTTTTAAATTCACTTATATCGCTAAGCTCAGAACTAATTAAAGTTGTTCGGATGCAACAAAGTCTAATCTATCATAAGATTTTCATGCGACGATACTTGTCCGACAAAATCTGGCTTATTCCTCAATCTATCGAGAACCAGTTCTCCAATGTTCGTGCATGTTGGATAAGTTTCCTCCACGCCAATCAATACGTTATCCTCAATTCTGAACGACGTACATACTAGAGAAGCGAAGGTACATCGTGATAATAATTCCATTGATGCAAATGTCAATTCGCCAAGTCTATCGATAACACATTTTTATTTACTCAGCTTTTTTCTCGTCTCTAAGAAATTTCTATCACGTCAACAGTCGCGAAACATCGACATTTTACGTGAACTTTTATAATCAGGCTTTTATCCTCCACTATATCATGTAGTAAATGATTGTCAATCGAGTTATAACAGTCTTATTAAGATGTTTACATTCACTAACAAAATCGTGAAGATAATAAGATTATGAAAAATTCAAACTTTTTGACTTTAAAAAGACTAAATTATAAAATAAATTTTTTTAAGTACAAAATAAAAATTGTTATCGCGTTTATTAGTATATATGTATACATGGTAATTTTTATTATGTCGTTCTGTCGTATAATGTAAATCTATTTTTATTCGAAACATTTTATTCAATGATATAACAAATTTATAGTATTACAAGAAGAAAAGAGGGAGGGATTTCCTGTCTGTGCATTTGCAAGCTATAAAACTATACGCTTATCAAAACGAAGTTGCATTTGGATGCTGCTATACCTACGCATTGCATCTATTCGATGCCATGATAATTTATTGCAGCTGCGCGAAGCGATGAAATTTTTCCGCTGCATTCGCGATCTACTGTCCGTCCTGACAACATTGAAAAATGTTGTTTCGGATGCTTCGCAGAACCGCTCGATGTCCATTCTCAAATGACATTTTATCTGACATGCATAAAACGCGAAATCAACATGTTTCTGTTTAATATTAAATAACACACATAATAAGAACATTTATGTATTTATATTTATCAATGTAGTGAATCAAACATAATACAAACTATATATTAAAAAAATTAATATTTTTAATTTTCTTAAAATAACTAGATAATAACTATTATTTTATTTATGTGTGTGAAATTGATCTAATCAAATTTAATAAAGTTTAATAAAAAAAATGCAATAATATTGTCTAAGTTTTAGAGAAAAAATTCATACATATTATAGTAGATAGTGACTCAGTTGATGTAAATTTCAATTTTTTTATCAAATTTATTTATTAAAATTATTTTACGTATTCTTTTATTAGATAAACTATCGCTTCGTAAAACTTGTATACCCCATCATTATTTCACATCATGTCGTTACTGTTTTGTAATTGATAAAGAGTTGCACAATGCATTTAGATAAAGATGATGAATTTCTAAATGATAAAAAATCGATTTTACAAGAGACTCCCATCTGGATAGACGTGACAATTTCTCAACGACACAATGCCGTGAAATTTCATATTTTTCGCACTCGTGACCGCGTCCTCTCTTGACTCTCCAATCTTCCACAATTTCTATTCTTGCTTCGTAATTGTCACATTCTACTTTCCATGAGCGACAAGCAAGTAAATAGTTTTAGTTAGGTCCAGTATTATATCTGCCGTTGCATGCGTGAAATGTTTCATAGCTAATTGTAAAACAACTTCGCTACAAATATTCAGAGTAGTACAATACTTATCGTGTCACATAGAGAACATTTATTGGAACATTTAGCGATAAAATAGAGATGAGAATACGGGCCAATGTCTCGGCAAATTTAACGTTCTCACGAAGTCTGCAAAAGTCTTCCCGATTTCCCTGCATCGGCTTCATCAATTTCTTGGTTGTCACTTGCAAAAGATAAATTTATCTCAAAGAAGACTGATCGTGGCGCCATTTTCTTGCGTGGAAAACGACATGTCCTCCCATATAACTAAAACACATTATCGTTTCACTCTTAATCACGAGCGCAATCATGCAACATATACGCATGCTTATTTTATAGTTGTTTCCGTTTCGCGCGATTTGCAATAACTTGATTAAATCTGACTCACTTAATCCAGCCACGCTAAACTACTTTAATTTTAAAGTCGGCCGACTGCACGAGAGAAGGAAATTATTTTAGCGCCCTTCTTTTCGAAGTTCGCGCGTTTACTTACTCGCGAACACTTTGTCGACTTTTCTCTGCTTGTCGAACAGAGAAAGCGTAGTCATAACACCATGAAACAAATATTATGGTATGTTATAAACGCACCATGAAACAAATATTAAAACTTCGTTGTGAGCTTTATTTTTGAAGGTGATTACAAAAATATAACCGCAGCAATTGCCACTTTGCACTTCTTTCATTATTGTATATACTTTTTTTCAGGACGAATTAAACGAAAAATTTAATTCTGAAAATTATATGCGCTGGCGTATGTGCGTGATTACATCGAGATAAAATCCAATTGATTTTTTATTTTAAAATATTTCTTCATGTGATGCAAAAATAACCTATGACACGCGTTTTTTGTTTTGTTTTTATTGATGTAAATTTGTAAAGAGTATTCAAAAAACACATCATGCATCTGCTTTATTTATACATGTTAATGCAAAAAAAGAAATGATTGAAACATTCCTTTTAAAAATAGTGAAATTGTAATAATAAATATCAATTATCATCATGTCAAAAAATAATCTAGAAATTTTAATATTTAATGAAGTTTGTAATCATTATTTTACTTAGATTCTTAGCGTTTTATATATTTAACATTTCTTAGACAAAAATTTTATTATTCGTCAATAATATTTTATACACATGCGGCTGATGCATATATACGCATAGCAAAATATTTATTTCTATAGAAATTGTTTATCTTTTATACTGCTTTATTAATTAATTTAGCATAAATAGCGATAATCATATCTTAATGTATCATGACATTATCGTAATATCATATTTCATCGATAATTATCTAACAAATACGCGTAAGCCACGAGAATACGCGATAAAACAATACCTAACTCTATATGTATTCATTAATAAAACAAAATATAATTCTCTATAACATTATATTATATTAATTTATAAAATATATAAAGAATTTATATTATTCTACTACTCTATTACTATTATTACTGTATAGAAAAACATAACTAAAAAAAAATTTTAAGTAACTAAATTATTAAACTGCGTACGAAATAGTTACATAAATATAATCAGTATTCTTTATATAATTTCAATTTGTCGTATAACTTTTAGCGATCTGCTTAAGCTCCTTCTTAGCGATTTTTCCCGTAGCTGTACGCGGAAGCCTTTGCATGAATTTAACTCCCGCATGCAATCTACAATACCACGGCATGTTCTGCTCCACCAAGTCGGTTATGTCGAGCTCCGTCGCCTGGAATTTACGTGAGAAATTGTAATGTAACGTATGTAGGGCAAGACGGTTAAACTCTTAGAGCTTGCAGTAAATTGAAGCCGTGCGCACAAAAACAGGTCAATTCTCTTTTTGGTAAAAGTCAATAAATGCAAAAGATTTATGCAAGCTAACTTTCTCTTTGAGAAAAAATTTGCAGAATAACATGAATTACTTTGAATAATTTTTTTTACACAAATATTTTTCTGAAAAATATCAAAACATTCAATAAACGTGTTATGCTATCAGTTTAATAGAGAGAGTTTATATATGTCAGTATAAAAATAAATTTTTTAAATAACATGTATAAAAAGAAAAAATATATATATATAAAAATTTTGCAAGATATCTAAGGTGATTAGATGAAGATTATAAATCATCTCTCACATGTATTCATTATGTATCATGAATTGTAATACATTATGTATATATACATAAATATGTATATATGTACATGTACATACATACATATACATATATGTATATATATTTTTTTAATGAAATGTTTACATTAATTATACATTACGAATTTTCATTTATTGTATATTACTTCTTTGCCGGGTATTTTTGCGACAAAAGCCATGGCGTGTTCCTCCTCGATATCATGCGGTACCGCCACTACGGCGACCTCAAGGACTGCAGGATGTTGCTGAATCAAAGCTTCAATTTCCGCAGGCGATATTTTGATAGCTCTATAGTTGATGAATTCGGATATTCTATCGATGAGAAAAATTTCACCATCGTCATCATAATAACCGAGATCGCCCGTATGTAACCATCCTAAAATTGAAGCATTGTTCTCTTGTATGATTTTTCTTATTCTCGACAAATTTCTTAAAGTCTCTAATGTTCGATAAAATTGTAGTTATTATTACAGTCGTCCCTGTGTTTGGTGCCAAAAATTATGAGTATGGTTACTTACTTTTAGATTATTTACGACAGAAAAAAATTTATTTGTTAATAAACAAGGCCCGGAAGAGTTCCGTTTAACAATATATTTATATATATGCGCACAAATTTCTGCGTACACGTCTAAATACTCGTTTAACAATTTCCCTGTATGCAAAAAATCCAGGCAAAGGAAAGGATTCAAAAAACAAGAGATATATGTATGACAAAAGATATACATTAAATGTGAAAATCAATAAAAATTTTGACAGCAATTGACGTGGCGCAAATATGGACCGCATTAGAAGTCTGGCCAAATTCAGACTTGCGGCCATTTAATAATTAACTTTATAATATCACGCCATTTATATATCAGGCGCAAGGATGGCCCTGATATGTATCTTTCCAATTCTTTTAGATAAGGCTGTAGTGTGGCAAACTTGCATGGTGCTAGCATATCGTGGCACCGGCAAGGCATTTTCTACCAGGGATGCTAAGATTTGATAGCTTTTAATTATTTATAACATGTGAAGATCATTGATGCTGTGATATTATAATAACAAACGGAAATTATTTTCATTATTTTTAACTCGAGAGTATTTTCGAATAAAAATACTAGCTCTGAGATGTCGTATATTTTCAAAAGTATCTGTTCTAAACAATGACATGTCGAACTATTTCATACTTACCGTCCGAATCGATAGCATTCTTCGTAGCCTCAGGGTTGTTGTAGTATCCATTCATCATGTGCGACGATTTGGCCCATATTTCTCCGGTTTTGTTAGCCCCCAAGATCCTTCCTGTGTTAGAATCGACCACCTTTAGCCGTCCTGTTTCGCAAACAAATCCACAGCTGCCCGGTTTACTGTATTTCGTCTGACGGGCACATAATCCACCATAATCCGTCATTCCTGTGGGCAGTTTTTGTTGTAAAGATCGTTTTTCTTTCGTGTCGCATGTTCATCGTATGTGTTTTAAGTAAAAGCATTGTTTGTGTTATCGCACTTGTACGAAATAACAAGATTTTAATAACGATTTATTATCTGTCATCTCAATGACAGTATCACATAGCTCACCGTAGCTTAATATAACGTTAGTGTGCGGCAAAAGTTTTATTAGAGTCTGCTGCAGCTCTTTCCGAAAATGTGCACCGCCAAACAAAAGGATTTTCAATGTAGGTAGCTGGTACCTGCTTAATACGCCGAACTTTACCAGCCGGATAGGGAAACAGGAATCGCATCTAAACCAGGATACCTGAATACAAAACGACGCCGTTAAACTCGAACGTTCCCGCGCGATATTACCTGCACGAGGCAATAAATCATTCGGCACAACTATCACACTCAGTTGTAGATGCGCCTCAATTCGAGCTTCGTGTTATCCTTTAGCAAATTCGCCACGCGACATAAATTAACACAAATTAACGTGAACGCGCAAGCGTAATATCGCGTGAAATAATACCTTCTATACGCAAAGATATCCCCAAATGGAAATAATAACGCGAACAGATGTCGTGCGCAAGAAGTGCATAATAAATCACGTGATATCACCAAATTTTATCGTAAATTTGCATATATTTGCAATTAATTTCCAAGATGTTATACACATTATATAAATGAGTCCCCGTGCTTGTCGTTAAACAATATTTTATAAAACCTTTCAAATGTTAAAACTATCTATTGTTACTAAAATTGTTCATTAGAATAATACGTTTTTTTTTATTCATTAAATATCTTTCCATTATATATATTTATTAATTTTTCATTATTATCAATAAACATGTTAAGAAGATTTTGATTGGACGTTAATACGCAATTACACGACTGTATACTAATCTTCCATCACGTGCCTCATATTTCTCAATGAAGTAGCACAGCTCGTCGTCATCATCGTAATCCGGAACTATGATCCTCTTGGAATAATCTAGAATAGCCTTGATAACAATGAATAGACCGCAATACCAACGCATAGAAGGCGTCCACATAGACACGTGCCCTCTGAGATCATGAATTTTCACGTGAGCCATATAATTGATCATGGATGCGTGACTGATCTCAGTGCCTTTCGGAAAACCGCTGGTACCGGATGAACAAACGATCGTAGCGATTTGATTCGGACTAGTCAGCTTCGAGCACTCGAACTTGTCGATCTTTGCCACATCTTGGGACCTTAAAACGCGTGTCAGAGATACGTCTTCGAATCCCGCCAGCTCCCCAAATACTACTAGTTTAATGTCCAGATGATCCTCCTCGATAATCCGTGCCAAACATTCAATCGAATTAACATTTGCAAATACTATTTTCGGTCTCGTTAGCGAGAGAAAAAACCGCGCGGTCGCTGAAAAATAAAGAAATTTCTATGTGAATTAGTTCGGCGCGTTTGAAAAAAATCTCGACGCCACGTCAATGTTACATACTTTTGTTATAATACTGGTATATGTTCGTTGCGGATTCGCGACAAAGGTAAATACGAAACTATGCGAGTAATTCGGATGTTTTTTCGCGTTGAGTAACGACCGACTGATTAAAAAAAAAAAAAAAAGAAAAAAAGAAAGAAAGAAAGGTAGAAAATCAAAAGAGGGAAAAAAAGAAAGAAAATGCTTTGCAACAACGGCATCGCCGCGTTGTACGTGCGGAAAATCGGATCTCGTTCGGCGATTCGTGGTTTAATGCTCGGCGCGAAAAAAGAACCGAGAGCAAGCTGGAAAAGCGGGAGAAAAGTAGTAACGTACTTGGAGAGAGCTCGTTGTCCCACGGGTTGCTAATGGCGCCGACGTAGAGTGCCGCTAGCAGCGGTACGTATGATTCCAAGTGATTGTGAGTGCAAATGCCGATTATGTCGCCCGGTTGAACAGCCTGCTCTCTCAACCACAGCGCGCATTTCACGCTTTTCTCCGTCATTTCCGCGAAAGTGGTCTTTGTGCCGGTAACCGCTTCCACCTACACACATATACGCATTACGGATCGAACGAGCGAGGGGTTTAAGAGGTGACTACGTTAGCGGAATTTACGTTAAAGTCGATCCAATGGCGTGTCTCTATGTCGACACCTTCTCCATAAAAGTACACTATATCTAATTACTTGCGCGATGAATTCCGGTTTGCTCCGCAGCTTTTCCAACACCAACGCTCCGACATTTCTGCATTCATCACGAATCGATACCTCCTTGCCGATCAATATGTTATCTTCTATTCTAAATATCAGATTATTCTGAAAATTCGTACGACAAGTATAATTAATTGAATACGACAGTAAAATCTTAAAAATTAAATGCCGGAGACAAATTTTGCATTGCAACATTAAGGAATCAATACAGCAGGCTCAATTCATTTTTTCTATAGTATTTAAACGCAGAAATTAATTAAGTATGATCGAGAGAAAGATAGAGAAACGTAATTACAAAACTTTCCAAGTCTTAAATAAAGAAAAATCTAGAACTTAGAAACACAAATTGGGTTAACTAGGCTTTAAAAAATTTTTTTTGCATTTATACCTCTTCGATATTGTGATCCTTTAAATTCATTGTTGTATTAGAATTATACACTATTTAATATTCGATATATTCTAAAAGCGAGTCGTGCAAAGCTTATATACAAACGATTAAACGCACAGCATTGAGCGCACAGCTTTCATTATCGATCACGTATTTATCCAATACTGATATCATTGATAACTCACTATAATAATAATAATAATAATTCACTTACACAATTCTAAAACGAGATAACATATTAAACTACACGACTTTCACACGAAAGAGATAAGTCTCGTGACGAACAGTGAGTTAACGTTTCCTCGGAAATTTGTTTTTACGATGGGAATTATCTTGGCGGAGAGATCCATTAGGAAAAAATTCACGATTCGCAGGCGCGTTGCGAAACAATGCTGTCGTGATGTACCGAGGAAAGACAAATATTTGTATGCAAGCACGGATGCGCAAGTCTCATTCGCGAACGTTACTCTCATTCTGTTTAGTAATTCCGAGTCTCTCTCTCTCTGAACAAACCACTGATTTAATGCAACGATCCGATTTTATTCTAACAAAATGTTGCAAAAGAAAACACTTTATATTGAAGAAATATTGAACTGTCAATAAAAAAAGGAGCATACGCAATAAACAATTGTTTAAAAAAAATGTTTATTAAGTAAACGTGAGCATCTATATTATATAACCTTTTCTCTAAATTTCTTGGAGTGAGAACTGAACAATCTCATTCCAAAAGAGTGGAATTTTACTCCAAAAGAGTGGAATCTCTTTGGAATGAGATTGTTCGGTTTTCACTTTAAGAAATTTAGAGAGTTGTATCTGAATAACTGAATTTATTCACCAAAATAGTAGTGACTTCAAGTTATGAATCCAATTGAAAGATATCAGTTAAAAATCTTTTTAAAAAATATTATTTCTTTTGGAATCGATTTGTCTTTGCATCAGTAATTTAGATCGAAGAAAAAGCTCACAAGAGTTCAAATTTATGTTTAATTAATCAAAATTTTGACAAGATTATAATTATATGTATATAGTGGATATATAAATATTATATTTTTAGACTTTTATTTTACTCGTTATTTTGGCATAGTTTATCATTGCATTAAGCAACGTTAAAGAGCTAATTGGATAGCGTTGGTTGTCGGCCCTAAGTTCTAACCAATTTATGAATGCGGCAACGTGACACGAGAGTGCACTATGCGGCCACCGACTCAAGGTGACGGGAATGTCCCTGTTTCTCAAACTTTCCTTTGGTATTGACAATCTCAATGTTCCCACTTTATCCAGCCCCCGGTGTCCTTTTTGCAGTTCTCCATCTACACATCTTCGTGGCATTACTGTTAATCTTTAAACTCTCTCTATCCGCACTTTGACGGTAATCTCAAAACTATCGTCAAGAATTTACTTTCTTATATATTTCAAAACGTTATATGTACGTTCAGAATGTAATAAAATTATGAAAGCATTAATAAGATGATAACAACATGAAATGAGACGGAAATTTAATTGTTTCGCGTATCTTATTTGAATAAAAAATTTTCTCTTATCGGAATATATTTTCTTATCAATTGATTATGATATCATAAAGGTTATTCTATTAAATGTAAACAGAATGTATACATTTAATAGAATGACCTTTATGATATCATAATTAATTGATAAGAAAATATATTCCGATAAGAGAAAATTTTTTTATACATTTCTCGACTTTTATATCGCGTATTTTTGTTTTACTGAGAAGTCGATTTTTGATTGATGATGAATTATTTTATTCACAAATGAGGGGAATTGAAATTTTGCATCAACATTTAAGTAGTGTAGAAAAATTTAACAAGCTTCGAGAAATTCTACGCTCATAACGATACAACATTTTCAACATGGCTCATGTTCGTTCAAACAATTTGAGATTCTACTTGACTGATTTTTATCTTCCTCTTGTTGTATGTCGCAGGAAGTTTCGTGTACTTGAGTAACAAAGAACTTAAGTTTATATCACATACCGTTATTATATTACTATTGCAGAAAACGATGTTTTACAAGCAATTTTTTTTTTACAAAAATTCAAATTTTACGTTATATATGCTTAACCTATTCATACACACAATATAATGATTTGAATTTGTAATATTTTTTTATAATTAGCTAGCGATTGCAATCACTTAATATTATGATTTTCGTTGCTCATGATGAGTAGTTATTCTAATGAAGGTGAATATTGCAATGCGATCTCACGAGGAATCGTTATGTGCATATTTAATTATTTAGATCCATTCCCTGTGCTGTTTCATTTACACATCGGGAAATGGTTTCGCAGATAAACTATTCACATGTTTTAGGCATTTACAAGTACAAACTGCGTATTCCTAAGTTATGCACGGCCACCATTTTACATGTCTAAATTCTTAATATCTCTAAGCTTTAAAAGAAGGAATATTACAGCAATTGATTCAAATAATTATGTCTGCATAACGGGGGTGAGCGTGTAAGAGAGAAATCAATGCACAATAAATATAGAACTTTACAAGACAGATTAAATATTAAATAATAAAATAGAGAAAAAATATTGATTTTTCGCTATTTTGTTAATATAAAACATTTTAAATTCCTGTCAGATTATATTATGATATAAAGCACGAAATTGTAAATGCAATGTGTAATCATATTGTACAATATGCAACTTACATGCACAGTATATGCTTTCTATAACACATGAATGTATAGAAACATGTAGAAGTCAAAAGCATGTAATATAGTGAAATGGATAGTAGTTCCTGATATACATCGTGTCTGCATAGAATATGTTACATGATTTACCATAAGTATGTTCATACTATGGTCGAACAACATGGCATCCGACAATTTCCCGTAAGCATTTCCAAACACGGGAGCGCCAATCCTTCAATATTGAGGTAGCAGGCACACAGAAGGCGCCAGCTTACTGTATTTACTGAAAACTCCGGTAGCGTTGATTCCACTTTCAGTACTCACTCGAGCTTTGATGTGCCATGTAATTCAACTGGAATGGGGGAATTTAACGAGCGGTAAATAAGCTCTCGGGTTTATACTCTCTGTCTCTCTCTCTCTCTTCCACGTGCGCGCGCGTTTCATTTTTGCATTGATTTTCATTTTCTCAAAAAGTTTTTGATGAAATAATAAATGTGTCTGAATTATATATTTCTTATTGAATTGTTGAATTATGATTAAAAAACAACATTTCAAAAGTCAATTTTTTCCCCATAAATTGATCATGCATTATGTAAACTTGTTATTTGAAAACAATTTGTGTTGTTGTTTTCACTTCTGTGAGTATTCCACGTGTACATTTTTGTGCGTACAAGTTTTGTTTTGATACATATTAATACCGAGGGGAAACTTATATTTATTAATAATAAAAATTATTTGCGATATGATCAACAACAAAAGGTTAAAAAAAATATATATAATATATAATTTATCATTCAAACTAATGAAAATTGTATACGTGATTACAATTCCGCATCATACAGAAAAAATTTGGTAACCTTTTTTTTTTTAATCTGCTCATTGAAAACAAATTTATTTTTAATTTTTTATTTTTTTTTTATTTTTTTTTTTTCTTATTTTTAATCATCCTCGAGCTGCAAAGCGGACTATCAACGTGGATTGGAATTGAATTCGAGTACATCGCGGATGTAGTATTTGACTGCCATACGAAAGTAGCAGTAGGCGAGAGGCTCGTGAGGCATCGGTCGATTGGTGCTTCCCGAAGAAGTCCTCGGGGAAATCTAGGATTTCCCTTCGACCAGATGCGTTTCTGCTCGATAGTTGACCCACCTTAGGACTACTTCGGCTTGCCGCCGACTATGTGGAATTGCTTCTGTGCCCTGTTATCGATACGCAGTTCCCTCTATCGATACGCCTGCGCGACCCGTAATTACGCTCGTTGTCTCACGGTCATCGGGGTTATCTCGTGTTCCTTCCGAGGCGATACAGGGTGGAATTCAATTCGAGGCCGTTAATCGTCGCGACACGCTTCGTTCCGACACGAGCGTGTTCGAATGTTTACACGACGACACAACGCGCTCAACGACAGCTAATTAGACGGGGATGTAATTAGATTTGCGCTGTTAACTCGATAATATATGCTGGTGAAAGTAGACGCCCTAACAACCCGCTAATCAAGGTTGACAGGTTCTTCCTCTGACGAGTGAATGGCAATCAATCGAGATTGTTATAGGAGACGGCGAATTGTAAACTTGATTATAATAAAATAAGCGTGATTTTGAGGAATTTATGTAGAGTCAGGGTGTTTAGCGATCAGGGAAATCTGAAAAGTTGGGCATTCTCAGGGAATTTTATAAGTCAGGAAATTTTACTATTTATCTGGATTTCTTCACATTATTCTATATTTGTCTCAATAATTTGACATTTTTTATTAAATAAATATAAAATTTTCCTTAACTCCCAACATGCTAATTTTCTGTGTTGTTAAAAATTGATTCATCTACAGAGTGTTCGTTAATTTATATTTTCATTGTCGTGTTATTTTAGTTCAATCAATGTGTTTGATAGAGAAAACTAAAAAATGGATATAATATAAATGAAAAAGGTGATTATTTAAATAGTTTATAGTGACATGTTTGTTTCGATTATCGTATAATGCAGATTGTATAATTGATTAAAATTTTTGTTTTTTTTTTAATTTCCAAATCTTTTCATTGTTGACAAAAATATCTCAAGAATTTCATGATTTAACATTTAATTGATTTATTATACAGATATATGCAAATTATATATTTGGAAAAAATAATACTAAAAAGTCAGGGAATTTTCGAGTTTGCTGGATACCCTGAGAGTAATTTAAGGAAAAATTTAAAGAATTTCAAGATATTTTCCGGTTATTTTGAATACTATGTATGTGTGCTCCTAAATTTTTCTTAAATTATTATATATGATATTCTGGAATAGAATTAAAAAATGCATCGGTAATTGTATGATTCTGTATAATATCCGAGCGAATAAAATTTTTAATCCGGAAAGTGCGAACATAGGCGTCGGTTTGATTTGAAAGAAGCGAAACGACTGGAAATAAAATTCCCCACGTGCGTCGCTTCTCTACCTGGTTTATCGTCCCGCGTTCGTCGCTTGATCAAACGTCCCCTAAACCA